GTTGCTAAATTAGGGTTTTGCAGGAAAAGTCAACTCAACTTTGACCAAGCATAACATTTTCATACTTTATAAGAAATGACACATCCAAAGCTCATTTTGAATAGGATTCAATTTCCTACAATCCATCTTCATACCCCAAGATCAAAAAATGCACTCACAAGAAGTTATGAATTTGGACATTATAGGTCATTTTTGAAAGTCAACAAAAACACCTTTTTTGTCAAAGCTTATAACTTAAGCATGGAACATCAAAATTATATGATACCAAAAGGGTTGGTTAAAGGATATCTCAAGCTTTCTAAAAAGTACAAGAACACTTCCAAAAGTTCAAAATTGAAGAAGTTATGCATTATTGAATTGGAATTTTTTTGCAAAATTGACAAAAGTCAACTATCCCCAAAACATCAAATTTTTTCAAATGGCCCCATTATTTTTCACTTGTTTTGAGTTTGCATTATAGCCCACGTGCCCTAGCTTCAGCCATGTGTCCATATCTTATTTTTATTATTTAATTTGATTTTTATTTGAATTTATTCATTTTAAATCAAATAAAATCATATAAAATCAAAAATATTGATAATCAAAGATTTTTTTGTTGATTATAGGCTTCAATGGACAGCTAGCACATCTCCAAACTCGTATCAAGGCATAAGGGTACAAGAAGATATGATTTGAATCAAATTTGGAAGGTTTTAATGGTGGAATCAAATCCAATTCATGTGCATTGATATGGAGAGATTTGGACCATGTTTCTCACCCTAATGCAGTACACATTACATAAGGAAGCAAAACACACGAAAATAGGGGTTGACAAGTGTTGGAAGAGGCAGAACAAAAGTGAAAAAATTTACAAAAAAGTGAGAGATCAAAATCCAGGTTAGAGGCAGTTTCAGAACGCGAGACTTGTTCCAATCGCTTCTTGGGCATTCACACAAGCTATTCCAATCAAAACCAAGCATTTTCAGACTCCCAAATGCACTGTAAGTCTCACGTAACACAACTCTGTTCTTGATTTCGATTTGAAGCATTCTGGCATCCATTGAACAAACTAATGGTACATTCGTGATCACAAGAACATGTTCAAACTTTTTGCATTGTTTAATTTCATTTATGTGCTCTGTATGAAGAAACACCATTGTTAGGGTTTGGCTCGTGGTTTTGGGGATTTTTGTTTCAGGCACAATTGGTCCACGTAAAGGGGATGGTATTAATCAGGAGGAGATGCCGAGTTCAACCATGCTCGTAGAAGGTGTTTTCATGGCCTGGGGAGAATTTTAGAATAGGGCTGCGTTTTTAGCTGCAGATTCAAATCCGCAGGTATTTTTTTTTACAGGTTTGAGGACATGGATGAGTTCGTGTCATCCGTCCATTGGTGGATTCAAATACCGCACGCGTTCTTTTTTTATTTTCTGACAATGGTTTTGTTTTTTATATAATATATATCTTTTGTATTGTTATAACAAATCCAATAGCGTGTCCCAGTGGTCAACATGTCAGCTTCCAATGCGTTAGGGGCTGGAGGTCAGGGGTTCGATCCCTGCCTCCAGCACTTTGTATTTTCTTATTTCTTTTCAGGTTATCACATGCATACGCTGGCTTGCAGTACACCATGCTCCCTCTCCCATCCAAATGTCAGATGGCCAAGAGCCAGATTTGGTGGCCAATGACTAGAGGTTCACCAAGAGCCAAGTCCATGCGCCCACACTGGATCACAAAAGTCAAAGAGGCCAGCTGCTATTGGGCCTTCAGATTTGCTTTTAACACCTCAAAAACAGGCCCAACACTCCTCTCTTTTATTTTATTTTGTTATTTTATTTAAATTGTTTATTTAAATTATTTAATTTTCTAACCAATCAAAATTCTTTTTTTTTTATCAAATAAAAGCACAAAAATATTTTTTTTATTCAATTAAACTTTAAACTTTTATTTTTTCTTAATAAACACTAATTAATTAATTAGGTTTTTTAATTAGAAAACTTTAATCCATTTTTGTAAATAATTAAAATTGATTAGATTTAATTAGGTTTTAATTACTAATTTAATTAATTTTATCTTCTTTCCTAAATAACAAAACTCCAAAAAATAATTTATTTTTTCATTTAATTGATTTATTAATTTAATTTAGTTATTTAACTTAAGTTTATTTTCTTTCTTAAAATAAAAACAACAAAAACCTGAAAAAGATAATTTCTTTAACCAAAAGGGTCAAAACCCTAAAATTTGCACTCAATTTAATTTCCCGCGCGTTGTATTTATTTTTATCCAATAATGTACCTGCTTTCAGATTGTAATAGTTAAATAGGACATTTAATTATTTTTATCGCTTTACTTTATTTTTCAAAGGGGTTTGTCTTTGGCGATGTAAATACCCGACGCCTTGTAATTAATTTCCGCACTTTTAATTCCACAAATTATAACTGCTAGATGTTTGATAATAGGGTTTGCATGACAAGACTGAATGTTAATCTTAAAATCAAACAAGATCACCTTTAACATGTACAAAGATAAAAATAAACTGAAAACGACACACTCGCACATGCACACTCTTAGGGTACACCCCACTTGGTTGCCTTCGTACGCGGTCATTGAGTATAGGTCAATTTAGAGGTCGTCCTCTTGTCTAAAAGATCATAGTCGCCTCGAAATGGTTGCCTCGGATATTGTTGCCTCAAAAAAATGATCTAAGACATTAGGGTTACTGCTAAGGTGTCCTAACATTGCTTTAGTGACTGTATGTCCCTCATTCGAATTGACCCTCAAACTCCAACGACGGTGCTACCTACTCATTAATAGTGGGATATCATTGTCTAAAGGAAATTAACATAGAATGATTCTCTTTTCGAGTAGGTAGATGGTTCTTAGATACTTGCTCTTTCAAAAAACAAAATCTTTTTCACACTTACACTCTTTTTCAAACAAAGTTTTCAAAAACACTTCATACGCTCTTGAGGACAGAAGCAAGAGTTAAATCGAAGTTTCAAATAAAAACTTTTTCAAAACCCACAAGCATAAAGAAAACAATTTTGAAAACAAATGAGCAAGTATCTAAGAGCCCGTGGATAACCACAGAGAGAAAGAGTGCTAACACCTTCCCTTTCTATAATCTACCCCCCGAACCCGAGAAATATCTCGAAAAAAGGAATTTTTCTGTGCTTTTTTCCTTTCCTTGTTGGATAAAATAAAAGTCGGTGGCGACTCTTGCTTACCGTGACATTTTGCAAAAACAAACGCAAAACGCAAACCAGCATTCTAAAAAACATACAGTTCTTTCCACCGTATCATAGAATGAATTGATGTTTTGCTAAAATATTATTGATGTTTTGCTGCTAATAAAGTTATTGAAATCCAGACATGAAAAATATGTGGTTTATGTTTTAATATGTGTTACATATAGTATTGCATGAGTATGTTGGTGAATGAAGGTGACATCGTAAATGTTTAAATTGGTTTTATTTACTCCGATTTTATTATAAATTACGCCGGGAAATTTTGGATGTTACACATTGCCTCGTGTCAAGCATCTATTGTGGAGGATTTGTAGGGGTTGTTTACCTACGTGTTCCAGACTTTGACAACATCGGGATCAGTGCCCGACAAAGTGTCAGCGTTGTGAAAGTAATAATGAAGATGGTTGACATGTTCTATTTGGGTGTAGTGTTACTAATCATTGTTGGAGGGCAGCAGGTTTGTCCACTATTTTAGATCCTCGTTTAACATCATTTATCCATGCTAAGTCTGTTATTTTTTATATCTATAGTAAGGAGGATAAGAAGGTTTCAGGTAGCGTGGCAGTAATGATTGATGTGATATGGAGAAATAGAAATGACAAGGTGTGGAATGATGAGTAGGAGGAAGCATTGAAACTCGGTATGGTTGCGGTTTGTAACTGGCAAGATTGGTTCGCAGCTCAACAAGTTCAGAATAGTGATAATATACAAAACCAACCGTTGACTTGGCAATCACTGATTGTTGGGTGGTTCAAATGCAATATTGATGCCGATTTTAATGCTTGGAGAGGTACTACTAATAAGGGCTGGTGTGTGCGAGATCACTTTAGCTGCTTTATAATTACAAGTACAACATGAGATTTCGATACTGTTTCTGTCATTGAATCTGAAGCCATGGCCCTTAAAGCAGTAGTTAAGGGACCTATAACTTTGAATATTCAAAATGTTATTTTTGAAATTGATTCTCATCAGGTGGTTCAACCTCTCCGGTCCAAGTATAGGGACAACTCTGAGTTTAGTTTACTTATTATTTCCTTATAGCAGTTGTTACAGTGTTATCCTAGCTTTGAGGTTAAATTTATAAAACGTCAAGCGAATTCAGTTGCCCACTCATTAGCGAAGGCGACCAATTCTTAATCTAGACGTAACACTTTTTATATGATTCCTCCATGTATTGAACTTCGGTCAATTAGTTATATGAATTAAGTTTGTTTTTGTAAAAAAAATAGGAATAACATTTACTTTTCATTGATAAAAAAACGTGACTTCATTGTATAAAAAATTAACTAATTTTCTCCTTTAATTATTTTTAAAATATTTAAAATAAATGAAAGATTAAATTTATAATAAAAAAAAGTAAGACTGCACCAAGTAGTTTTCCTATATTGTTATAGATTATGAGCAAAATATGTGTAACAAATGATGAGTTTTTATAACAAATAATCACTTTAAAAAGCATTATAAAAATTAAAAATTCATCTTTGCTTAGAAAAAAAACAACCACTCGGCAATATATATGGGTTGTTATTATTTGATTGCCACAATTCAAAATTCAAAGTTTGAAAGCATTATAAAAATTCAAAATTTACATTTATTTAAATAGAACTCTAATTTAGATTATTGAAATAGAACCCTAATTTTGAAAGAGAAAGAAGAAAAACCATGTCAGGTACCACTCTCACTCCCAACGTTGACGAAGGCTTGAAATCCAACCTCAGCGTCCACATCAAATTGAAGAAGGTTTGTTTCATCGGTTAGGTTTTATAGTATTGAATGTATGTTATTAGTAGAGATCCATTTGTAAAACGAGTTGATCAATTTCTCAAGCATTCTCATGCCACAATTATTGATTCTTTCTTGGTCAACTTCTATTTAGATTCTCAACAACAAAGCATCATTGATGAATGGATACGTTTTGTAATTGCAAGAGGAATTGGAAGAATGGAATTACTCTTTTGTGGAAGCCCTTACACACTTCGCAACATGCCTCGCAAACCTTATAAATTTCCCTTCCATTTATTTCCAGAGACTAATGCTTCAACTCTAAAGCATTTGCGTCTTGAATATTGTGTTGTTTCCATTCCCCCCAACTGCAATTTTATTCCATTCAAAAATTTGAGTTTCCTTTCACTTATAAGTGTAAAAGTGGATGGAGTTTTTATTCAAAGTTTAACACAACTTGAAGAGCTTCACTTAATTCAATGTGAGCTCAAATCATTAACACTAAAGATAGTGAGTTCTTCCTTACGTCATCTCAAAGTTTCATTATGCTATCTCCTATACGGCAACTTCCAAAAGGATGTAAACCTGATTTCACTAGATTGCCTTAAACTAATTTCATTGGACTACGGTGGACGTTGTTCGGCTAACATGAACTTTAATACGCCTATGTTGAACAACATTCAGCTCTATGTTATATGTAGCGAACAACTTCTTAATGCATTCAGACTCTTGGCAACTCTTCCTAAACTTGAGATTCTGCAATTAGATCTTTATTCAATGGTTAGTCATACAATGTTTTACTTTCTTTCTCGTTTGAATTATATTTTTATGAATCTTACATTTTCTTATTTAGGTACCAACTTCCCTAAAAATAACTCACCCACTCGAACATCTCAAGGAGTTGAACTTGATTTTTATCCATCCATTCGACACCCCACGAAAATTAGAGTTTGATCTTTCAGGGATCTTAACCATCCTACAAGCTTCTCCACTTTTACAAAAACTTTCAGTCATGGTGAGTGAACATGGTTAATAATACACATGATTTAGATGTTTTGATTTGTATTCATTAGTATAAACTTTGATTTTACTTTTTACAGCTCACATTTCCTGAGATTATTGAAGATCAAAAAGTTGCTAGGGATGTTGATACGTTCTCTCATGAGGAGGTCAAAGTTATTGAATTGAGAGGTTGTGTTGGCAATTGGTATGAAATTGAGTTTGCTATGAATGTTATCAAATATGCCAACAAACTTGAGCGAATAGTTTTGAGTCCATATTGGAGAGATACTGTTGAATCCTTGGATTGGAGTTCTGATCTTGCATGGTTTCAAAATGGGCGTCAAAGGATTACTGAAAAGTTTCAAACTGAAGAACTAGTTGGAAGAGAAAAACTAGTGCTCATATAAGACTGCGTAGTTCTCTTTTTCTTTCTGTTTTACTTTTAGTGATTTATATTAATAACAAAGTTTTTCTTTCTGTTTTAACTTTATTAGGATATTTAATAATATATTTATTTATTTTCTTAGTTTAATTTCATATACGGTTCAACTATGGTTTAACTGATTTAACCGATTGAATCTTAACCTGCATGTTTTAACGGTTATTTTTTCAGTTCGGTTTTTAAAACATTAGTGTTTATGCTATCGGTTATTTTTATGAATCTTACATTTTCTTATTTAGGTACCAACTTCCCTAAAAATAACTCACCTACTCGAACATCTCAAGGAGTTGAACTTGATTTTCTTAGTTTAAATTTCATATACGGTTCAACCATGGTTTAACCGATTGAATCTTAACTTGAATGTTTTAACGGTTATTTTTTCAGTTCGGTTTTTAAAACATTAGTGTTTATGCTATCAGTTGTACCATGATATAATAAGTATTTAGAAATTATTATACAATGTTAAACTTGATTAACAAAAATAATAATAAAAAAAGTAAAATGCATCAGTGGAGTTATATGATTAACAATCTCACTGTTTACTGAATTATAATGTTATGCATTCAATTACTTGCTTGCGCCATCTTGACAATTCTGTATTCGTATCCCTAAATAAAATAATAAGTAATGTAGGATTGGATACTTCAAATTTTCCAAACGTCATTCATTCATAACATTTGCATCAACTAAAAGTAAAAAATAATTGAAATCGTATTTCATGCATTTTTATTTACTTACCTACTTCATGTATTGCGTGAAGTTGATCAAAATTCAATCAGAATAAAATTCCAATTCTACAGCAAGATCTGTAAAAGCGATTCGACATTGCACTTAAAATTAGCAGGCGAAATATTTCGAGCTTTGACCTACACCAGACTATTTTATGAAACTACATTCCACGTAGGTTATTTCGGTATGCTCGTTTTATTTTTTAACTCAGTTTGCCGTCAAATTTTGATGAGTCAGAGCATGTTTAACCGAATATTTTTATTTGTGAGTTTCATCATTTCCGGTCTGTTTTATTGAACTTTGTAGCATGTAGATCATCTGGTATGTTAGTTTCTATTTTTTTGACTTAGCACGCGTCAAATTTTATTCATTTTCAAT